GTGGTGGTGGTGGTGGTGGTGGTCGTCGTCGTCGTCGTCGTCGTCGTAGTCGTCGTCGTCGTCGTAGTAGTAGTAGTAGTAGTAGTAGCAGCAGCAGCAGTAGCCCTAGCAGTAGCAGCAGCAGTACTTCACCGGGGGCGTTTTCTCCTACAGCTCCAACATGTACTTGGAGTCGTTTGCATTGGATTTGTCATATGCTCACTTGCTGTGATCTCATTGCGATTACTTGAGAACCCAGATGCTATCACACTTCAGGTCGCCTCCGCAGGCGTTCTTCCCACTACCCCAAGTGACGAGAATGCCGAGGCCAGCGAGCCCGTGGATAAATATTGGTGCTATATAAGGATAATGGAAAAGAAAGTGGAAACTACTATATTGTAATAGAGCATATTAAGATCAAAGGTCTGTTGCACATTGGCGATCGCCTGCCTATCCAGAAGCCCATCGTTTAGCGGCTTGGAGAAGGAAGGTCGTATATATGTCAAGCCACTGCAGGATCCCCCAAGATTCATTACGATAAAGCATGCTTGACTGAAGGCTGCATCATCGTCCTCTACTCAGGCATATCTATCCAGGACCGAGGGCTTCAGTTTACCGGCCAACATTCAGGAGCGGCAAATCGCTCAGGAACACTTGCCTTCTGTAAAGTTTCACCGGCCAGTTCTCTATTGTGCGTTGCAGTTGGGCAATCTAGACCATCATGTAGCTTTTTGCTAATTTGTTCAAGCCATCTTGGCACCAGGACACCGACAACGGCTCACGACAGCAGCCCGGACAGCCGGAGTCTTTGCGGAGGACAGCACCATCATGGCTGACTTTTCCGGGCTTTGAGCTGTTCAAGTTCCAAACAACCATTTGCAAACACTTCTTCAGGAGAGACTTGCAAAGCCAAGGCTACCAAAAGCATGATGCTCATGGGGGCAGGGGGCCTCGCAGCATTTTTGCATTATGAGAGGGCACCCCTAATCAATCTTGCGCTGGGTAGGAGCCTCCTCTCCAAGCACAGAAAGGCTTGGCAGTGAAAATTCTTTGCTTTGTGAAAACATGCAGATCATACAAATTATTGAGACTTGCGACAATTATGTATCGCTGTTAGGGGGTGGTATCACACTTACTTGACAGTCTCCTCAGTGGTAGCTGAGTAGACAGTTGCTGCTAAC